ATATGTTTGCAAATTAACTAATAATGTCTTAACAAACTAGCAGAGTAAGAATTAATGATAGAGTTGCAACAAATTGAATTACTTTTCTTAAGGAACATTCTAAACCATACCCAAGCCTGTACCCAGGTAACCATGAGGGTTGAACCACATCTGCCACTGCCTAGGACACTCCATAAACAGCTGCAGAAAAGAATGGAAAGGAAAGACAAGCTATGCTGCCAAAACATGCTACCCTCATTCTTTTTCCTGTGGTATTATATAAGTGCTGTGGAACAGAAATGGCTCCTTTTTAATACCTTTAATCTTTCTTCCTGGGCTCACTGCTTTTTGAATCCCAGTGTCTATAGGTCCTACGAAAAGATATATTAGGCCATCAGAAAATTCAGTAGGCTGCTTCCAGGACATGCCAGAAAACCAAACTCTTCAGTACTGACAAGAGAAAAGGAAGTAAACAGCATTAAAAACACTCCACTGTCTAAATACAGTTCATAGGACAGTACTTTAAGTAAATAGGAATAAATTTTAAAAAATAAGATGGTCCTCACCTAAACTTGGCTACAAACCTTCATAGCTGCATTTGCTTACCCTCCTAAGGAAGGGCTTAGAGAGATAAAAGGATGAAGTTGGTGAGGTATATGGTCAGTCACATTCTTCCTTCCAACATGCTTGCTCTGGAAAGTACTCAGGTTATATTATATAATGAAGCAAGTCATGAGATTTAACAGTTACTGTTATAACTGGGCACTTTCTTACTCTGGACTAGGAGCACTTGCTTATGGAGTTTCATAGACATACATTCTACTCTGTTTTCCCAATTGTGAATGCACTCAAAGTGGTCAAGTCATAAGTTTCTGTATATGGTGGCTGCCTTAGGGGAAGGGCATGGGTCTGGGTGTAGAGATACTCTCATTTACCTGCCTCTTCATTGACACATGGTTGCCATAGTGATCTTTTTTTAAAATTTTATTTATTATTAATTTTTTATGTGTATGTGTGTATTGCCTGCATGTAGGTTAATGCACCCATGTCTTGCACTGCCTGCGGAGGACAGAAGATGCTGTCAGACTCCTTGGAACTAGAATTATAGACAGTTGTTATCTGCCATGTGGGTGCTGGGATTGAAACCCAGGTAGAACTTGAACTCACCTTGTAGACCCAAGCACTAATTGTTCCTGTATTTAAGTAAACCTTAAAACTTGGTTTTAAATTTTTTTGTTAATTTTATTTTATATGTATAGTTTTGCTAGCTAAATCACAAAGCCATCAATAAAATATATCCACATGGTGTTTTATTTGTAATCCAACTTATAGCTGATTGAACAATACTTAACATTAAGTGTGTTTAAATCCAAAGGAATACCTTTTTCACATACTTGTGCAAATTTTTCTTGCAAATTGTGTGCATGATTTATGAATAACTATTAATCATATTATATATATGTCCCTTAACATTTTGCACATGTGAATCAAAACCAGGAGTTTCAAAAGGACCAGGCACATAGTTCCATGCTGCCCTACACCCTCACTTTGATATTTTGCAATTTCAGGTCATGTGCATGGGGGAGGGGCAATAAAGTATCTCATACTGTAGCTCAAGGTGGCCTGGAACCCACTGTGCAAACCAGTTTGACTTGGTATTTAAGGCAAATTCTCCTGCCTCAGCTTCCACAGTGCTGAGAGAACAAGGTGTGACCACCCGCCCTCATCACTAACAACCCAGGTGTTTGCAATGAGAGGAGAGACACAGTCACTGTCAGGGAGGACCTCAGGGTCCCAGAGGGAACATGAAGATGCAGAGTTGGATGCAGTGTGCTATGAGTGATTTGGGATTTGCAGGTCAATAGGCCATAGCCTGTGGTAAGCACCTAAGGTGTTTCCAATGTGACAGAGAATCCTGATCTGTTGATGCTTAGGAGTCATCTTGTTGAGATGGATGCAGTGGTTGAGAGTAGCCTGACTTTGGAAATTATTTTTATTTTCTACGTATGAGTGTTATGCCTGCAAGTATGTAAGTACACCATTGTCATGTAGTGCTCTCCAAAGACAGAAGGTGTTGATGTCCCGAAACCAGAGTTATAGATAGTTGTTAGCCACCATGTTTGTGGAGAGAGAGAGAGAAAGAGAGAGAGAGAGAGAGAGAGAGAGAGAGAGAGAGAGAGAGAGCAGGAAAAATTACCATGCAAATTGGAGGACCAACAAGTACTTAATTAAACAATAGATAGCAAGAACAAAGACTATGAATGATCTGGTACAGGAATGCTTCTCTACTCACTGAAAAACAGAAAAAGGTTAATCATGAGTCATTCTTTCAAAACATGATAAATCAAATGTGATCAGTTAAACTCAGTGGGATAAAATGAGTTTTGCAATCATAAACTAACAAGTTGCAGTGGAAGGAGTCTCCTAAAACCGTGCATTCTCAAAGGAAAGATCTCACAACTAGCATGGAAGCTCAGATCCAGCAGAAGAGCAGAAGTGCGTTTAGCATACTGGTGCGGGAGATGCTGCAGAGGAGTTGGGAAGGAACAAACGGGAACTAGAAGGATCAGGTTATCCTCCAGGGACAGAGGGAGAAAGGGCAGCTCCTTCATCACCTGTGCAATCTATAGTTGGAGGTATTAGGGCACATCTATAATCTTGGCAATACTTGGCAGAAACACAGTGGATTCTGGAAGGCAGAGAGGTAGAGAGAGTTGTGCCAATTTTGGACAATACCTGAGGTGTTCCCTCCTCATTCTCTGTTCCTCAGACAAGATCAGCAGAGGAAGCATCTCCACGTTTCCCCTGGGAACCCAAATGGGGGACCAGCGAAGCCACATGGATGTGACTGGAAGTCCTGACTGTTTTGCTGACAGTGTCCTCTTTGTGGCCTGTTGTTTTCCTCCAGTGTGTCCTGTTTTGTAGCCTTATGTCATCTGTGCATGTCAGATGCTTGAATCCCCTCACTTGCCACAAAGATTAAATTCTCTCATTTCATATTTCCTAGTTTTCTTTCACTTTGCATAATTGTTTGGGAACTCTGCTGTTAAGGTCGCAATGGAGCTCAGTGCTAAACGGAGGACTCCCTTTCTCAGCAGGGGCCTCCTGCTCTCTGCCTGACCTTATTTGGATAATGTCTCCAAGCTCAGATGCCTGTCCTTATTTGAAACATGACCTTTGGCACATTTACCTACAAGAGCTGCCCCTAGGTTTTTTCCTGTATGATAATTAGGCATTGTACTACAGCCAGGCAATCCCACCTCCCCTCTCTACATGATAGGGTCCTCCTGCCACATTCAAATGGAGCATGCCATGAACACCTATCAGGTCAAGCTTTGGTTGCCATATATTTTCACCCTATATATTCCCCAAACCCCCGTTGAATAAACGAGCTGTCTCACTCAAGCTGATTCCCAGAAGGTTTATTCCATCATACTCATGACCATCCTGACCGTCGTGTCCCTGCTCCCTGCCTCTGCTCTCTTTGCTCTTGGGGAACAGTAGCCACGACCTGGGAGGGATGAGAGAGACCCACACATAGTGATTTTCTGGTTTGTAGTTTCTTTGGTTTTTAGACAAGTTCTCCATGATATAGCCTGTGCTGTCCTCATAATCACTGTGTCACTGATGATAACCTCGGTGTCCTAGTCTTTCTTTATGAGCTCATATAAGAAACACAGTCTACATGCCTAGCTTGCATGGTGACTTTTACATTTCTTTTTATTATTTTTTTATTACTTTTATTTTATGTGTATGGGTGTATCACCTGCATGTATGTGAGTGCACCTGTGTTGTGAAATACCATGGACTTCAGAAGAGGGCTTTGGATTCCCTTGGAATTGGAGTTAAGGATGGTCCGTAGCCACGATGTGGGTGCTGGGAATCAAACGTGGGTCCTTTGCAAGAGACATGATGACTTTTATGTTGTAACCTGTAACCAGTTCACACTTGGTGACCACAGACTCCTTCCTCTGTATCCATCAAGCCATATATTTATTTATCTATCTACCTGTTCATTACTGTTATCATTAGTAAAAGTTTATATTAATTTATGTATAATGCTCCAATATACACAAAAAACACATTTCGGTTTTCTTGTAGTGCAGACTTCCTACACGGAAACTGGATGCAATGATCAACATTCTGCCTCTTGGAGAGTTTGTATAACTCATGTGGGATATCACATCCGGAGCATTCTCAAAATAATATGACATAATAAATTATTTTACTATTATATGCTGTCTGTGTTATTCTCCAACTTCTACTTCCATTTGATGCTGAGACAGGACTGATGTGTAATGGATGTGTGGTTTTTATTTTCTGCAGCATCCAAGCCTGCCAATGCTCATTCA